ATGTAGTTGCAAAATATCACATGAGCTGGAGTGCTCTGCTTTTCGGTCAGCAAAACCATCAACAGCGAGCACTTGTTTACTTCAAAAACATTGGTGTGATTACTTAGGAAGTTCCTCACTTAAGAAAATTAACTATGCTTTCTTTGTTTCCTGGTAAGGTTACGAAACTACACCATGATGCCAGTAACAGAAGAGATCTGCTGCTAATGATTCTGTGGATTGGCCTAGTAGTTTGAGTCCTCAATATTCTTGTGTCAGCCTTACGGGTGGTGATGCATATCAACTGAAGACAATGTCATCTCAATTGCACATATTGGAATAGTTAGCAAACACTTGTTGTGCAAAGGAATCAGCCGAATCCCCAAATGTTCATGCAGTTTTTGGCTTTCCTATTCTCTGTACAAGAGCCATACCATCAATAATAACAGCTGACTTCTCAGAAGTAGCATCTGGCAGAACAGTTACTGCTTTACCTCCAATCAAGATCCATGACAAAACTGCTTTGTCAGCAATTTGTTGAGCAATTTGTTGGGTTTAAAAAGTGTTGGAGGATATCCAGACAGTTCACCTTGTAGGAGAGGGCACGTTGAACCTTCTACCTGCTGCAACTGCTGCGAGTAGCCTTTGCTGGATCTTCTTTGTGTTCTGCATCTATATCATTTTGCTGCACTGTCCTATAGTTGACTTTACATCCTTGAAGGTTTTCAATTTTGATTAGGGTATGTTTGCATAGAAGCTCAGTAGCATCTGCAGTAAGACATCTATAGACAATGGTGTTCGCTATTCCTCTTCCTTTGTCACATGCATTCAGAATATCTAATGCAATATCTTCTAGCACATCTCCCTTAGAAATACGTAACAGCTTATTGTTAGAAACCTTAAACAAGTTGAACATTTTGAACTGCTCTTGTAGCAACTTGACATTGTTGGAATCTCATTTCAGTTGTGTCCTTTGTCTTCGTTATGATTGAAAGATGTTATATTGATCCCACATATCTGATTTACCATCTTGGTTAGATTCCTCTTTCATTGTAGTTCAACTCCCATCGTTGTCTAGCTTATTCACTGCATGTTATGTTTACTGTTCCACCAGCAATTTGGCAAACCTCATTAACATGCTCTATTGCCTGGTTGGCTGAAATGTTTACAAATGGAAGAATAGTTGTCTTGACCCCAAATCCTCCTTCCACAAACCCACCATATATCATAGGAGCAAAATACATTAAAAACCCTTCATATATTCAAGATATACTGGAGTACATCTTGTGTAATTTGTGTGATCATTCATAGCTATCAGCAGAAGCATTTTTTTAAAGGTAGGTAAATGCTCATGCCAGTTTCCTTCACGTTCAGCCCTGATGAAGCACAAGACTTCACTTGAATGTCCTTGATGGGAGTGTTTTTCCACAAATCCTAGAAACAGAGTGACGGTCATTAGCAGATGCATTTCACCACATTCCTTCCCGCTTTGCAGTTATCGTTTCTGAATGCAACAGCCATGCTACTGGAAAGCTGGTCAACAGCATCGTAATCTAATTCTTTGCTTGAACTAGACAACCACACAATGATTTCATTTATCAAAATATACCATATTACTTTTAATGCTATTTTGTGTGCTGTAATAGCACAGTTGTACAATTTTCATTTCATTATGTCAGTGGAAGTGTTTTCTGAAAATAATCTGCTTTCTGTCTAACAATCTTCAAGACCTGAAGTGGCAAAATTCTGACCAATTGCTGTTAGGTAAACCATGATGATAGGGAAGCCTCCCAGTCAAATGATTACTCCTTCAGTCTCTTCTGGCTGAGCTCACCCAAGTTCATTCATTTTGTAATACAATGCCTGATCAAACATTATGACTGTGTACTATTGTCCCAGGCATCCTGCAATTGTTTTACATTGCATGATGATAGTTGAAATGGTGTCATACTCGGATGCTGGCGCAGGCAGTATGGGACAATCCAACAATTGATGGTGGTGAAGTATCATTGGAAAGAAACTGGTTAAAAGCTGTCCACTCTGGCATGGCAGTGTTCTCTTGGTTGTCAGCTGATATTCTACCTAGTATCCATGGTAGCTCTGCTGACATCTGTTAAACAGCTGCGTTGTCAAACTTTTCATTCGTGTTACTACCCATACTTTGGATGGGTGGTTTCAATGACTTGTTATCGGTCATCAGCAATAGAATTACTTTGTTAAATGCAGGTGCTACATCTTTCAAGGTTCTTTTCCTTTCTATTACACTGGTGCTCTTCACTCTCAGCTGGTTTTAATGATCCTCTTTGAACTGCTACAATTTCCATTGCATGAAATGTTTGTTGTTTATCCACTATCTTCTCCAAGTGTCAATATTGTCCAATGAAAACAGAACAAAATGACCGGGAACGAGATTCTTTGGGATAACAACTCCATTTTCCCAAAATTCCTTTAAGTTTTTCTCAGCAATGGTAGTCTTGCTGTGATGAACTGTGTCATCATGGAGACTTTGTACCAGCTTCTTAGGTCTGGTTGTGTGATGTATCAGCAAGCCTAACCCAAAATGTTTTGGTGTTAGCTTTTTGCCCCTTGATTGCAAGTAAACCAAATCCTGACATAGAGAAGTACTGAATGTTTAGATTCTCATCTTGTGCACGATGTTCAATATCTACATCGTTGTCATCTACATTGATGTTCAATATCAACATCATTGTCATCTTCCAAAATCAAATGGGTCAATGTGTAAAGGCTACCAGAAATACATTTTGAGGCTTGCTCTTCATTTAAGTTGCAGTATCCTTCCATGCCTACTATAACTTTCAAATCTGCTTTGATCTCAAGAGCAGCAAAGTACAAGTTTTGTGTGTCTGAACTCATCTTTGAACTGCAGACCAATGGCTTCCTCATCTTTATATGCAAAGTTACAACTGCTTGTATGGCTTTACCAGTTGTCACAGTTCAGAAGACAAGGAGTAGAAGATCTGTATTTTTTTGCTGCTGAAGCTGAATGACTGTCTTTTAGTAAGTCTGAAGTTCTTGCTTCATTTGCTTCAGTGTGGTCAGAGGACATTCACCACCTTCATCTTCTGCTAAATCACAATAACTTTCAAGTATATCTTTCAGACTACACATATCTCCATGCAAAACTGCCATCTAGTTCATCAGTCACTTGATGCCACGCTCTTGCTTCAGGAGAAATAAGAAAATCTTCTTGCACGATCTTCACATGTGAATGGGAATGAGAGACATATTGCTTCTGTTGTTCCTTCCACCTGCATTCAGGATGATAATATGCCTCAGCAGCTATTAGATCTTCTGTACCAATTTGGTAATCCCATGCTTCATTCTTCTCTGCCAGCTTGTGTATTGCATTGGCTGATTTAAATGACAATTCTTATTAGAATGTTTCCAGCAAAATATGCACATCCTCCAATGAACTGCTGAAGTAGGTGATCTGCTTGATGTCCTAATGTGTTCTTCACTTTATGTTGTTGGTAGGGCTTCCTTTTCATCTTCTACCTTGTACAACTTTCTTAACAGTCTCTCAGTATGTCCTTTGTATGTAAAAACAAAGCAAAACAAAACAAAAAAACAAAAACGTACCAAGAATAGTTCCAATTGAGGCTTTTGGAATGTTGTGGCGCGGGATCAACACAGCATGATAGTCTGTCAAGAATACTGGCATAACAAGTGTTGAATCCAGTGACTGTCATACGTTGAACGAGTGCCTCGTTTATTCACACAATTCCTGCAGGTGTACTTTAGCTAATCATTGACTGTGAACCTACTTTGACACACAATACGTCTTGTAGATTCTGAGTCATACCTTCTGCACTTTGCTGGACTCAGTGATACTCTCAGCCGCACTGTAATGTTTGCTTAAGGACAATAAGAGTGAGTCTTTTGTCAACAGTCTCTATCAGAGGTTTTCATATCAAGGTAGTCTGAAACAGAATAAAGTTGATGTAGTAATTTTGGAAATCTTTTGGATATATAATAATGAACAAAACTGTAAATTCATGGCAGCCATCTTCGAATCCCATGTGGCTACCATGTTGGAAATGTTACAGTTGATCTCCACACTTCATACAATTTTTGGTTTCATCATGGGAATTGATTTTTAACCTTAGGAGGCCGAAGTATTGACCAAAATGTGAATTCAAAGCAGTCATCTTGGATTCCAAGATGCACTACTTGCCAGATTGGCAACATGCCTTTTGTGACATGGGTAGACCCCCTCTTCCTGAAACACACTGCTACTGCTTATGACAATGAGTTGCCTATGGGATGACAACTAGGACTGTGCAAAGCTTTGGTCGCTGATTCAATTCAGCGGAGATTCGGCAGCCAAATCCCTGAATCCGAATTGAATCAGGAGACCCTTTAATCTTTCCAAATCAAATCAGAACCCTCCAAATTGATTTGAAGGGATTCAATGATTCGGACATAAGTGCAACTTTATATGTTTTTCCTACATGCCTCAAGGTACCAGGCGGCTCGTGAACACTGAAATGGTGGGGCAGATGGAGCGTCCCACAGGAATGTGGGAAGGTTCCCAGTGTGCTTGGCAGCACACCTGGAAGTGAAGCACTTCCGGTCCACTTCCAGGCCCACCGCAGAGCTCGCAGGAAACCACCCCCCACCCCGGCTCGGCGATTGGTGCCACTTCTGGGTCCACTGCCGAGCATGCGGGCCCCCCCCAACCCCCCCGTGATCCTGTGGGACACTCCATCTGCCCCACCATCTCGGTGTGCATGAGCTGTGCCTGGTACCTCAAGGTATGTAGGAAAAAAATTTAAAGCTGTGTCTATGGCCAAATTGCTGATTCTCTAAATCAGAATGTAATCTTCAGATTTGGCTGACTCAAATCGGGACAGTGATCCGAATCAACTAACTGAATCACTGTCCCCCGAATCGGGCCAAATTCGAATCCAATATGGCCCGCTTCTCACACTACTAGTTACAACTTCACCCTTCTTTTTTACCCTACTAATTCTTCCATGTTCATCTTTAAAATGTTCTGCCCTGCTATTTACCTTACTTGATTTAACACATTCACCATTCAGCACTTCTACACGGTCACTTTCAACAAAAGCAACATGACGTACAGCATTCACTACCAGCAAAGGTGATAATACCTTCCAACTGTCTTGAATTACTTAGCCATAATGACATTAGAATAAAATACACATGGTTGATGCAGTATACAAATTAGTCTTAATTTTGGAGCAGGGTTTATCGTGACAAACTCCACTGATTTCATTAGGTTTACCTGTGCAGATCAGATTGCAAGCTCAGATCTTAAATATGTAGTGAACGCTGCCAAACTATAAATATCTGTTTCAAAAGAAATAAAATTCACCATGTAACCTCTTAGATGTTAAATTAAGAGAAACAGGTAGAAGTTTGCTGCAATCTAAAATACAGCTTATGTTTATATTCTCTTAGCTATATCTTTGCAATTTGTTCTTAACTATGAGAGTAAAGTTAAAACCAGATCTAGAGATTCTTTGGAAAGGAGGAGGTATTAATGAATATGGGGTAAGAATGAAGGAGGAGGAAGAGGAGGGAATACATGGGTGAAGGGGCAGGTGGAGTTTACATTTATGCTTGAATAATAATTTTTTGTGCACAGAAAAAAGTTAGCTTGAATTTCAGTTTAGGTGATATCACATTGCCAGGTGAAAAGGTGCAAGATGAAGAGGGTTGATGAAAAATTCAAATTTTCAGTTCCTTTGCTTTTTGACTTCTTGTTGGATTTATTTTAATTCAAACAAACACATGCAACTAAGTGTATTGTTTTAACAATATTATGTAGCAGGAGATGAAGTGACATCAGGCACCCTGTTGTTATTCTGCGTAAGAGAGAGCCCCTGCCCATGTCTCTAATTAGACAAGACAGGGAAAGAATTAACTCCGTTTTACAGATAGAGATTAATGTTCAATCCAAAATTGGTTTAAAGTCTAGGCACCTGCCTGAGGTCACATAGGAAGTCAGT